GGTGTGTTGAACACACAAATTCCTTATCAGTGTTTCATGCACAAAATCCCCAAACTCTTAGCTCTATGAGGTGAGATCATCTCACATGAGGCGAGGCTGGTGCGGGTGGAGGGACAGCGTTCTGCCTCTTGAGGCTCTTGCTGCGGAGCGGCATCTCGTCTCGCTTTCCACAGCTGAGCAGCGACAGCTGTGTGAGCCCAGTGAGTCCCAGGCAAGGTGAACTTTATCCTTTTGTACCCTGCCAGGACAAGGCTGAAGTGATTGTGCTTTAAAAAGAGGACCAGTGTTGGCAGTACTTCTACCCTGCATGTTTTGTAAAAGTAAAAAGCAGCCTCCTCCCTATCCCCCACCCATGCCACTGCTATTCTATTTCAAAGACTTGCTTCGAGGCCTGCAGTCTTGTTCTAACTCAGGCTTGGAGCTCAGGCCTACTTATTTACTTCAAGAAAAGTAACAGTGATTTCTTTATCCCTCTCCTATCAAAATATCTTTCACTCTTCTCAGATGGCCAGGAATTGACAACTTTCCTCTTTTGAGCCATTTTTGTAGAGTGCCAAATGCTGCTGCGCCCCAGGACTCGCTCAGCTCTCCCAGGATTTGGTCTTGGAGTTTAAGCTTTCTTTTACCAAACTACAGAAGAAATCATCACCCTGCTCGCCCATGTTTCCTGTAGCAATTAAACAAATTAATATGTGTGTTCAAGTGAACTGCCTAGTTCCTAATAATGCTCTAACGTTCACCCGTACAGAGTAACGTAGAAACGCTATGTGAGGTGTGATGTCCCCATCGTAGTGGATTCCATCTTTCAAATTCAAGCTGCACGTGTTTGGCTAAATCGAGCTGTCTTGTTCTCACTATCCTTTTGAAACTCAGTAAGCACTTGAATTATTATTGTTTTCATTTGCTTCCTGGTGAGAACAACGTGTGTGGAAAATGGCTGCTTTTTTTTATGGGCAGTCTTGCCAGTGGCTGGAGTCCTCAGCACTCTTCTCGATGCCTGGGCAGTGCCTTTTCAGCTCCTTTTAGTTTATGGACTCTTGCTGTTTTGTAAGGATCAGCCTTTTTTTTTTTTTTTTTTTCCCTCCCCTAAAAGGCACCCAAGAAAAGCAGCACAGTGTAATTCCTGGGTTTCCAGGGCTCTGCTGAGCACAGCATGGGAGCCACTGGAGCAAGAATAGTTATTTATATTCAAGAGGTGTCTGCCTAGATACCCACTGCACAGGACATGGCTTACCAAGAACTTGGCTTTCTGTCAATGTCAGTCTCTCATCTGCGTAAATTCCTCCCTGTGCTTTTTGCCTCATCCAGGAGGCAGATGGTACTCAGGTTTTATAATTCTTCCATGTGCAATTTCATCTATCTCCTGTGTGCTAGTTTTTGATGGAAAAAATTGCTTCTCAAGTGTTTTCACTAATGAATCTGCTGTGGTCTCCTTTGCCTGGCTTTTACCCTGCTGCTGTTGCTCTGTATCATTCCCATTGGAAATGCTGAGGATGTGGAAGACAATAATTGGAAGTAATAGATCCAGGGTGGTTTTGAGTGCTGGTTTCTGTGAAGTTCCTCAGGTTGCCTTTTCAGGTGTGTCTGGCTGAAGATGCTGCTTGGGAAAACCGCAGGACGAGGCATTGCCTCTTGTCCTCACACTCATTCCCAGGCTCCTGGCTTGGTACCTGCCCTGAATCACTTGGCTTATCTACCTGCCTTTGGATAGGGAGTGACCTTCGTGCATTCGTGACCTTCGTCCATTCGTGCAGTGACCTTCGTGCGAATGTCCAGCGTGATGAGCTTGGGCTATTGCCGTCTCTTCCCGCTTCTTACAGCTCAACCCCGAGTCCTGGCATGGGCTGCTCTGGGTCTCTGTCCTGTGTGAGGAGGCTTCAAAGCACGGGCTGGGGAAGCAGCAGGGGCAGCAAACCTGAATTTCAGGCCCGTGCTTGTTTGGAGCGACCTCTGAAGAGAGCCAGGCATGCCGAGGGCTTAGCTAGCTATGTAATACGTGTTATATTAGCAGTATGGAATAGCATACGCTGTGAATGGGTGCAAGGTGCTTTATCCTTGTGCGCGTGTGTCGCGGCCCTTCCCCGGCTTCGCGGGAGCCGCTATCGCTGCTCTGCAGAGCGCTGTGCGCGGTGGGGAAGTGCTGCCACACAGGAGCCCGGCTGCCCTCCTGCTGCTCCCCCACAGCCCCGGGTTGTTTGGGGTGTATTTAAAGCACAGGCACTGTCGAAAAACTCAAGTTTGTTTTATATTGATCTCAAAATTGGCAAGTTGCTCCATGACCTTGGTGCCACTGCAGCTTTGTAGGCCAAGGAGGGTCCCCAGAGAAGTGTCCTCAGGGTTTTATCTGCCTCAAGTCCTCCTGCCAGCTGGGTTTTATAACCATGGTTTCCATTAAAGGAGAAGGGAGGACTTCTTGTGCACAAGATTTGTGCAAAGGGAGCTTAACCATTAAATCTTCCTGTTGAAGTAAAATGTTGCATTTACTCAAAATAGCAAAAAATTCCTGCAGCTGCTGAGGCTGAGTAATTTTAGGAGATATCAGCAAGCAGAAAGGAAAGACAAGGTTATGTCGCAATTTTAAAAAAGTTGCCTTGATGCTTCTTAAAAATTTCCTGTATCCTAATATGGCACTGCACATGCTTCAAGGCTGCAGAAGATTGTGATGCTTTGGGAGACATTTTCTCAGCCCCTTTCCAGTGCTGGATCAAATGCTTCCTGTTTTCCCGAGGTTTTCTCCTGCTCGACATGACTGCTCGGGGCTTTGGTGGCGGAACAGAAGTTAAGCACAGTTATAAGTATCCCGAGCTGTCGGTTGAAGATGATGGAAATGCGCCGTACTGCCAGCTCTCGCAGCCGAGTTGTCTCTTCCTGCATCAGTGGATTTTTAAGGTCCTACACATCTACTGCAGTGACTGATCCCGTAGCTGTGTGCGAGAGGGGACCATGAGGGGACAAGGCGCCCCGGCAGGGCGAGCGCAGGTCGCTGCCCCGGGGCGCCCAGGCCTCCTTCCTGCCTGCCCTTCGCGCCGTGACTAGGGACCGTTTCCTTAGGAGGCCTTGCCGGGATGAAAGCGCTGCGGTTTGGCACATCTTGGCCGCAGTGTTTGAGCGCTGCTGTTCCTTCTTCCGGCCGTGCTGGGGGATTGTCTGCGTTCCAGCTCCAAATCCCAAATTCAGCCCGGATTAGTCTTTAATGCTTACAGCCCTGCAGCTGCCAGTAAGTCGTTTCGCCTGCATACTTAATGTCTCCTTAAAATCTGCCTTGCTGGATGCTGCAGTGGGATCTCACTTCCGATTCGCCAGGTCAGCAGCGAAGGGGAGCAGCAGTGTTGTTGTAAATACCTGTAGTTTACACTTAAAGAAATGAAAACTACTGTTGTAGCCTTAAGCAGCACGCGCAGTTTGTTCCTTGATGCCCTTGTCATTCTAGTTGCTTTCCAGGCCCCTTGGTTGCCCAAAGGAAGGGGGATTTTTTCAGGCTTCTCGAGTTTATGGCCGGACCCTGAACTGGTGGCAGGACGAGAGGCAGAGCAGAGGGAGAATGAGACGTCAGTTCCCAAAGCAGTATCTGGCCTTCTGCATTCTCTGCTCTGCCTGTCCTGCTCTAATGAGGCTGGGTAGAAATCGTTGCAATAATGAAATAATGAGACTTTAAGAAAGGAAAATTCATTCCTTTTTTTTTTTTTTTATTTTTTTTTTTTTATTTTTTTAATATTGCTGTTTGGTGGAAATGAGTTCCAGGCAAAAAGAGAGCCCAAAACAAATGTTTGGCTACGGCTTTATTCCCTCTGAGGGCTAAAAATAGGAGCTGCTGAAGAAGTGTTTGCAGAAGAGCAGTTGTGCTCCGAGGGGTTTAGCGCATGTTTAAAGCCGTTTTCTGACGTTGCAACAGTTCAGTTCTTGTCTGCTGTCGGATAAGCAGGGAGGAGCCGCTGTCAGAGTAATTCTCCTTCAGTCCTCCGCTTTGCTGCCGTGTCTCCCTGTGTCTTGGTGCCGGGCAGAGCGCCCTCGCCCCGGCTCGAAGGAACCTGAGGCAAAACCGCCTCGGAGAGCGGGGCGAGACGTAAGTGCTGCGAGCTGGGGAGCGCCGTGGGGAGCGGGCTGGGGCCTTGCTCCCTGGCTCCAGCGCTGCGGGGTAGCAATGTGCTTTCCGCACAGGGAGCGCGGTTCTTTTTGGTGCTGCGGACAAGCCTGATTTACTTGATGCCGGGGGTTCCTTCCCGCTGTAGCCTGTTGCTTCCCTGCCGAGGCAGCACGTCCCGGGACAAGCCAACCTGTACGCGCTTCCCGCCCACGACTGGTGGGAGAACTGGGGAGGGACCCAGCACCGCTCCCTGCTGCTGCTGCTGCCCGTGTGCCGCCTGCCCTCTCTCCAGTGACTCAGTGGCTTCCTCAGTGCTTTCCCCGGGAGCTCGCCTGGCTGCCGATGACGCCACGTGGAAATGGCCGCGCCGTGGCAGCCCAGGGGCTCGCTTGCCGCGCTGCTGTTCTCTGTGGTCTGCAGCTACCCACTATGTGCTTCCCTTCCCAGGCAGCACCTCATGCCCCAAAAATGCTGGGGCAGCAGGGGGGAGTGCAGCCATCCTGAGCACCAGGTGCTCCAACTGCAACGGGAAAAGCATGTTTAACCCTTTGCTCGTGAAGGCAGCCAGCACCAGTGGAGGGGAAGGGCAATGTCTGTGAGAAACGGGAAGCTTATCCACTTCTTGCTTCCTTTGCAGTGAGTCTGGAGGTGGAGAGAGCCCACGTGCAGAGAGCTTCCCGGGCTGTCAGTTCTCCTGGGCGCTTGTTGTGAGCGCCGGTCTGCAGGAGCAGCGGAGGGGAGCGCCGCGACGCTGATCTGGGAATGCACAAGCCGGCCGGAAGGACAAGGCTTGGAACCGGCAGGGTGTGACGGCTGAGGACGGGCGACTGTCGTGATCTATGGCAGAGGCGAGCGGCTCAGCACTGGGAGAGCTTCCCACCAGTTAGATGCCCCGAGGGAGAGAACAGCTCTGGCTGAGCTGATGCCTCTTGGCACCTGATACAGGCTCAGGTAAGGGCCCGCGCGCTTGGGCTGGCTGGGGTTTCCTGATGCAAAAAGCAATCCAAAAACTGGCATGAATCGCTCTGAGTACAGTTGCTTGCTGTGGAACAGTTCAGATTCACGTCAGCACCTGGATATTCTGCGCTGGGGCTTTTGGGGATGCTGCTTGTCACCTCAAACCTGCCTGTAGCGGAGGTTCTTGCTTGACTTCTAACACCTCTGCTAAGTAGATGAATGTGTTTTGATGGGATCGCAGTAGCTTTGCTGTGCAGTGTGCAGTGCAGTTTCAAATTCGATGCAAACTTATTTGCTTATTTGGACAGGAGCTTATCTGAACTTTTTGTAACATGTTGGGTGACTCATTTATATGAAATAATCATTGTGCAATAATTTCCAATGACCCCAAGATAGGTAAATTCAGCTGCCTTAGCACTCTTTATGGTCTCTTTTTTTTTTTTCCCCTCCCCTTTAAGGCCTGTGTGCTCTTGGTTTCTGTTGTAGTCAAGGAAATAAACATGCAAACAGGATCTCCTGTATCTCAGCTCATCCTGCTTGCTAGTAATTTCATTCTTGAGGCCGTAATTGGCTGTGTGAGTGCCAGTCTGATTTCCTTTGCTGTAGCACATTTGCCTGGCCCTGTAGCCCTGTGACATTGTTTTGAGTTGATGTTTGGCTTCTGTGAGAGATTTGCTGTTACAGTCCCCATGCCTGGCTTTGTTAATGGGAGAGGAGCTACAGATGGGGATACCTTGTTGGATGCCCATGATGCAAGGGCACCATGCAGGACCCGCAACCCCTAACAGTGCTCGGGCTGGCATTTAAAATGTGCCTGCTATAGGCATCTTAGAAGTTGGGGAATGGGACTTTCCAAAAGCCACTATTACGGCTCTATGAAGGGATTTTGGAGTTCTCCATTTTGGATTGCTATTTCCTGCCTTGGATTTCTGATAAACATGCTGAGGCAGCTGTGACACTGGAGGTAGCAATGAGCAAAACCACAGGTGTGTGGCTTGGCTTCTGTAGCCATCCAGACGAAATACGGTTGCTGCTTGGTGTAAAGACCTGCTCTTAAGTCTTAAGAAACAGAAGGTCTTTTTGTAGCCAGCAGCATGTGGCACTTTCACAGGCAGTGAAAGCTGCCCGTGATCTCCTGAATGTGCCAACCTATAGGTGAGTGTCTGTCACGGCAGCGTGGCAACTCCTGTGCTTCTCTACTTGGCCTCTCAGGTATCTTAGGAGGCTTCAGGGTTTTGTCACACAAGGAAGTGCAGGAAGATTCAAAGCTCTGCTGATGTCACCTGCAGGTGGGAGGTTTGTCTCGTGGCTCTTAACCCTTCAGCCTCTCTGCTGGAAGACTTTCCTAGACAGAAGAGCCTCTGCTTATGGCTGCCCTTGGTCTAGCAACTGGCTGATGATCACAGTGTCTCCCCGTCCACAAGCAGTGTGTATCACGTGCTGCCAGCTGACAGCACTAGTAGCTTGAAGCAGCCAAGTACTTAATCATGTACTTAAATCTTATCAGGGCCGTTTAACTTCTTGTAGCCATTCGCTTCCTTTTAATTGCACTCTTGTAACTGCACTATTACCCTGCCTGTTCCATGCCGTGCCAGTGCACTAGCTGCTCTGTGGAAGCTGCTACCTGCAAGCGTAGCAGCCAGGAGGCAGGTAAAGACTGTAGGTGAGCCTCATGCTGAGGGCCTCAGCTCCCTCAGCACCTGCTGTACAGGCGTTTCAGCTAAGCAATAAATGCTTAGAGGTCAGCTCCATTAAGCGTGTTCTCCAAAGGAAAATTAAAGGGATTTGTTTATAGCATAGACAGTTAAAATAACATTTTAACACGCCATTGGTAAGCTTTTAAAGTAGATTGTGAAACAGGAACAAAGATTTAAGCCTCTCAGGTTGTGCCTGTGGTCTCATGCGCTACCTTTGTGACTTTATTCCGTAGATGAGTTTCAGTTTGACACAGGTCAGCGTGCTGTTTCGGGGCGGCGTGTCAACGTTCACATACGTACATTCACATCTGCTTATTTTTGGCCACCAACAGTTTCTAGTAGTAGGTAATTGAGCACACAGGGAACTCTGGCTGATCTTAGGCCAGACTTGCCGTTCCTTCTTTAGGAGAGCAGGCTTCGATGCCTTGCTCTTTGCAGTGGCATAGATTAGGTCAGACCGTATGTGTTTCCATGGGCTTGGGTGCAGTGTCAGCTGGTAGTTTTGGAAGAAGTTACCATCTCTTCACTGAGCAACCAGGCAAGTTGTACGAGTTTTGCCCTGGGGATGGGGCACAGGAGACACGCAGGTGGCTGAGATGGCTCTGCTCGTGGGAAGTGACTGCTGAGGTTTCACAACTTGGCACCTGTGTCCTGCTTGCCATGCACGTGCTCTCATGGCTGGTGCAGTGGGCTTAGAGGTTTGGTTGCTTGATGGGCTAAGAGCAGCAGCCTGATCCTTTGAAAGGGAGGCTTTGCCAACAAGTTGTAGCTCCTCAAAGGCATGTTCAACGTGCCTGGAGGAATGGAGTCTGCTTGCTGCCGCTCCTGGTGGTAAAAATGGGAAGCTCCAAAGTAAATTTCTCATTTCTTCACAGCCTACTGGTGCAAAGAATGATCTATGAATGTAACATCACCGCAGCTGCTCAGTGCAAAGGGTGGGAATTGCTTTCTGTCCTGGGCAGCACTGCCTTGAGGGAAGCTCCGTGAGGAGCTGGATCTTGTCGTTGTTCGTGGTGGAACTGAATTCCTTGTCAGGTACCGCAGGACACGCTGATGTGTGACTGCCCACTCAGCACTGGCTCTTCATTGCCTCTGCTCTGATCCCTGTCCTTACACCACAGCCGCTTGCATCTTTGGCAGAAGAAACTCTGCCTGCAGAAGCCCCATTCGGGGGAGTTGTCTCCTTGTTTGTAGAACCTTCACTCCAGGGTGGAAGGACACCGCAGGTGAGCAGAGGGTTGTAGATGTGGCCTCAGTGAAGCAGCTCCTCTGGCAGGAGGTGACCTTTCCTGGTTCTTCCCCAACAGTAGCCCAAAGGGAGCGGAACTGTCATTTCTTTGGTGAGAAAGCTGCTGGTTTGGGGCTTCGTGCAGGTACCTAATTTTAGGTGGGATAAGGGTTGCTCTCGTAAAGTTTAGCACATCAGATACAGCTCTGCCATGAAGCTTAAGTGACTGTGTTACGTTTGAGGGAAGGAGCACAGATTGAGATACCTCATTTTCCTTCAGCATTTACAATAAGCAACCTAAAAAAAACTTTTTAGGAAGACACCTAGGATGTTTTAGGAGGACTATGTTGGTAAATCTGACTTGCAGCCTCTTTTTTGCACTTAAGACTTTCCATCAGCAGAGGGAAAGGGTCTGCCTCACGACATGAAATCCCAACTGGAAAATTAATCTGGGGAGAGATGTTCTTGTCAGCTAGGAAAAGTTGGGATATTTTGTGATGAGCTTGGATTGGCAGGTGACTAGCTTGTGTTCAGTGCAGGTAAGCAGGTATGTGCATTCTGACTGACACCTCTTGATGTATTGCTACTGGGGCTAGTTACTCCTTCCTTAATTCAGAATCTGGTTACCGGTGGTAAACTTGTTTCCTAGTTGAACTGTGGGTGATCAAAACTACTGCTTCTCTTTGCTGCTGCAATATATAAGTTGTCTTTTGCATTTCAGTCTCCTGCACACAGTGTTTGGCAGGTGGCCTTTCTTCAAACTCTGCAGAAAATAAATGTTTTAAAAAATAGTTTTCGTGTGCACAGTGTTATTCCCCTGAACAAAGGCCGTAGCTTTCTAAGGACCACTTCTCTAGTTTGTGCAGCGCGTCGGTGGCATCCCTTCAGCGCTGTCACCATTGTCACTGTAAAGAGAAAACAAATATGCCCCTTCCAGATGTGAGAAGCAAAAGTGACTACTCTGCCCCCATTTCTGTCTGCAGAGAGCCTTTCAGATGGGCTGAAGCCAAAATGTATGTGGTCTTGCTGCTTGTTTCTGCTCTGTATACCTTCCTCTGTTACCGAATAGCTCTTCCTCTGGTTGCTGTCTTGCAGCTTGTGGTCAGCAACATGCAGAATAATTTCCACTTCATGAATGTCTTGAAAAGTTGCACACTGAATTTGACGTAGTTTTTTTCCCTCCAGCTTGCAGAATATTTGTATTTTTAGCAGCTCCTAAAGGACTTCATTTGAATCCTATGGCCCCATGACAGCCTAAAAAGTGACATAAGGAAGGAGGGAGCGAAGGTGCCTTTGAGCTCAACTTCTGAGAAGAGAGGCACCCAGCAGAGATGAGGCTTGCTGAGGTGGCGGCTGGTGGCGCGAGGCCGCGAGCGCTCGGTGGTGTCTGAGGGCTGGACGAGGGGCTGCCCGCAGCTCTGCCCCGCGGGAGGTTCCCCCCTCGGGGCAAAGTCACGTCCCCAGCCTGTCCTCAGTGCAGCACCCTTGGCTGCTCTGGCACCTCTTGCTGGGCCTTGGTCAGTGGTGCCCTCAAACCAAGGAGGGCTGCTTGGGCAGATGAGAAAGGAGCTGGGCGTAAGTGCCTGCTGCACTAAGTGCAAGTGAGCAGGGCACTGATTTCCTCTGGGAGTTGGAGCCCACGGGGGTCTAGGAGGTAGGTTTCGCATTTGTCCCTCCCCACTACTGGCCATGGGGTGCAAAGGAGGGGACAGGAGCACGTTGCCTGGGGAAGTGTGGGAAGAGGCAGCTCCTCTTGGTCATCACGGTGAAATCCATCACTCCTGTCACACATCACTCCGTCTGGGTACCGGCTGCGGGTTCCTTTCGTGTCTTGTCATAGGAGGCTTTCAGGCCTGCTCTGCTGGGGGGTCTCTGTGCTCTCGGGAGCTCTTTTCAAAGCCCTCCATCAGATCTCTGGACTGTAAGAATAAAATGTTAAAGTTGATGTAATGTTCAGGTGCTCCAGGTGGATCACTGGGTGATTCACAATGCGGCAATGGGGAAAACAGTTTAAGGTTTTAACAGTTCTTTTTTCTTCCCCGCCCCAACCCTGCTAGACCTTTTTGCAGCAAGCAAAAAAGGCAAAATCTCCTTAAAGCAGGCAAAATGTCGCCTTCCTCTTCAGCAAGCTGTTCTAAGAGGTTTTCTAATCTAAGTTTCCAAACTCTAAGCTACTTAGTTTTAGTCCGCAGTTCCCTTCCTGTCCTTGGAATACCTTCTTTCCACGTGAGACTTGTTGGCCTGGGGGAGCAAGTAGGACTCGGGAGGGCTTTGCTCTGCAGGTGATACTGCAGCATCACTGCTCGAGGTCTCATCCTGGCCTATAATTTCCATCACAAGCCCAGAAGAACTTGAAAAAGCCACTGAGCGCTGCGGACAGAGCAGTCCCTGAGAGCGTCAAAGGAGAAGGACGTCACGGGCCTTTTCTCTGTGTCCCTCCTTGCAGAGAGCTGCTATCCTCTATAATTTGCCCGGAGAGGTTGTGGAGGCTCCTTCTCTGTAGATCTTCAAACCCTGCCTGGATGTGACCCTGTGCCACGTGCTCTAGGTGTCCCTGCTGGAGCAGGGTGGGTTGGACTAAATGATCTCTAGAGGTCCCTTCCAACCTCAACCATTCTGGGATTCTGTGCCTGTGGCACCGTACCCACCCTGTCGTGTTTGATATGGGAAGTGATCTTCTGCGTGCGCACAGGGGCTGAAGCAAAGAGGTGGGCACCGATCCCCGGGATTTGACCTAGATCCCTGGGGAACTAGGTTGGGTCTTGTCTGGCCAACAGCTTGGTCCATCTCAGACCCCGCAGCTGGGGCTGGCAGCCTTGCTGCTGCCCGATGCTCGGTTCTTGTGGGTGTTCGTGGAAGCTCCTCGCTGAGTTGGCTCTGCTGCTTGTGCCTTGGCATGTAATACAAGAGCTCTGTGCTGAGCACGGCTTGTCTGAACATCTGTTTAAAAGCTCTGTGTGTTTTGTAGAGGCGTGTGCGCGCCTAGGAACAAGAGCACTGCAGCTAGTCCTGCAGCCCGTTCCGTGCAGAAAACTCCTGCTTGCTCCAGCTCCATTGCTTCCCCGTGCCAAGAGCGATGCCTGGCAGGCGTATGTCGTGCGCGGGAGGGCTACATGTGCCTTGCGTGGAGTCTTTCAATCTCGGGCCTAACTTTGGCTGTGGGATAAGGCTGGAAGTTAAAATTGTCAGCAGAGCTTTTTTCTATTAGCACTTTCCTAAAATAATTCCCATGCTGCATATACATTTGCTTATCTCCTTTCTCTCTCTCTCTGTCCTTTTTTTTTTTTTTTTCCCTCCTCTGTGCTTTACAGTTTCTGACATGAAGAAAGATATAGACAGCTTCATAGCCCGGGAAAAAGCGGAGATCGTTGCCAAGTATGAGAAGGTACCAACCTCGTGTTTTCCCTACTGTGCTTGCTGAGGCTGGAGCTATGCAGGTGACTAGTCAAGCAGGAGTGCTCTGAACAAGAGCTTCTGCCTCCTGTGAGTTACATGGAGTTACGCTCCAGTCATCAGGCTGCTGAGTAACAGCCATAGGAGCAGCTGGGTATGTTTTTAACTGCTCTGCAAGAGCCCAAGGCCTTTACTGGGCATTCTGCTACCAGTTCTTAGTGCTTTGGAGATCCTTAGGATAATCGTACTCCTGTGCTATGCGTTTTCCACATGTGGAGTCAGCCCAGTGCTTCACCAGCCTTTTTGGTTCCTGCTGGGCCTCCTCAGCTCCCTGTCTACTTGTGCTCATACTTCATCTTGCACAAAGTATTTCCCAGAGTTTCCCATGTATCCCCATCTATAAGAGCACAGTGCAGATGCTGGGTGGACTGCTCCTTTGCTCAGGGTGGCTCATGGTATCTCTTCTGCTTTGCAGGGCAGGCAGGAAGGAGCTCAGATTGATCCGTGGGAAGATGCCGACTTCGCGCTGTATAAAGTTACCGACCGATTTGGATTCCTGCAGTAAGTCCCTGGTCCTTTGCTGTCCTTGGGGACCTTCATATGGCCCGCTCATTCAGGACGCTATTCTGCACAAAGTGTAACAGATCCCAGCATCTCTGCTACAAGCAGCTCTTTGGCCTGCCTTGATCAGCCCCACATGTAGAAAGGAGGAATACATGTGTCCCCTCCCTTACCCACACATATGGAAACACTCTAGTTTGAATAAGCTGCAAGGCAAGGCTTGGAGCAGTCTGAATCTGCCTGGGAATGATCACATTGCCTTTTAAAAGGCTTTGGGGTAATTCAGCTGGGAGGAAAGGCTTAGAAATGATTGGAGAATATCCTTCTACTTTTGCGAAAGGGCTGTTTTCCACCGCAAGTCTGGTGTCCAGACTTGCAGGCTTTGGTGGCTGTATGTCTGGTCTTTCCCCAGAGGAGCTGCTTATTAATAAGAATAAATGAAAATATAATAATAAGTAATAATTAATAAGAATAAATAAGAATAAATCTTATTTATTCTCTTTCCTTGGAAACTGTATCCTGCCCCCACCGTTGTTGTTTTTGTAATCGCTGATCAGCTGGATGTTGAAGAGGAGCTTAAGCCCAGGATTTCCAGCGATATCCAGTGCTCAGTGTTTTTCATTCTGCAGCTCCTGCAAGGCAGGGGGGTTTTGCTTTGTGCCTTGGGCAGGCTCCCTCATGCCGTGTACAG